ACATAATAAACACATTCATATAACCATTGCCTGTTGAAATATCCTCCCCTCTTGCAAAAAAATAGAAACACAGCCTTTGGGATTCCAGTTAATGGCTTTGCAAGTACGATATTTGCAAGTACAGGCAAAATACAGGATCAACAACATGTCACCTCAGCTTACTCTGCACACAATGTGGGTCGTTTTGATGCACTGAAGGAACAACTCACCACCACCACATAATACATCACGTGACTAGACAAACAGCCATAGTAGAGTAATACCTTTATTAGGACTAAGTCAAATGTGACAAAGCAGTGCGCAAGCTTTCAAGTTTTCTGGAACTCTTTTTAAGGATGGAAGACTGATAGTTAAGAAAACTGCAAGCAAGCAGAGATGGGGAGGGTGGAGGGCATGGGGGAGAAAACTGGCCATGATGTAAAAGCCGCAGACTCCGTAGTCTGTAAAAAAATTAACTCTGTGTATCTTAATTATATTATGTCTCGCTAGGCGCAAAACAGATTTCAAGATGCAACTACGACTACCAGGACAAAGAACAATAGTGGTTGTTTCCCTACTTTAAATCATTTCCCCTTGAAAATGCAAATGCCAGCAGTCACCTGGATCGACACTAAACAAAGTACACATGTCTTTAGTGAAATAAAGAGCAGATAGTCCCCGAAAGCTAATTTTAGGCAGTTTCACTAGCTAAATTGTCAATAGAATTTGGTAGTATTATCTAGTGTTTGGTCCAGGGCACGTAGCCCCTGAAAGCTAAGTTCATTCTTTAGGTGATCATCTTCCTAGATACTTTTCCTGAATGAGTAAATTCTATATCCTCTAAAACACACAAAAGTTGTAGGTAGTATCAGTTGATCCTACAAATTGTATGTAACTATTTTATATATGTTTTTGTTGCATTGCTTTAGTTTTTGGGTTTTTTTCCCCAGTGCACCAGCCAAGCCATCTATGATTTTTGTGGTCCAGATTCTAGGAAAGCACCTAAAAAATAAGCCACAGTTTTCAACAGAATAGGAACTGCTAAAGAATACTTGTCAGGAAAGCCTAATGAGCAATTAAGTTTTGTGAAAGTTCCAAAGGCTCCCGAGTGCAGTATTGTTAATGTCTCTCCTTTTAGGTTATAGCTGAAATGACAGATCATTAAGTGTCTGTCAACATCTGGATTCTAGTTTGCCAGGAGGTTCTCCCTGCTTTTAAGCTTCTCTAAGCAGCAAAATTCTCCATGGGTGTCTTGCCTCTCACTAAACTGTGTAATGGAGACAAATATGGTTACCAGATTGTGAAAGATCAGGATTGAACACTAGTATCCTTCATAAAACTGTCACGGGAGCAAACTCTTGCCTTGACCTACAGCTGTGAGTCATCAGATGGTGAGTAAACAAGTCAACGCATGTGCGAACCAGCCCCAGATTTATGAACTTATCCCCTGTTTCAGTTCTAGAGGGAACTATCTAGAACAGCAGGCTGCCACTCAGGACCAACCGAAGTCTCTAGGTTGCCATTCGCTCATTCCAATATATTTTGCGCAAGCACACAGTGATGCCTCGGTCCATTGTTTTGAAATAACTCTTCTGAAAGTGGCACTGGTCCTTCATGTGCCTGAAGGATGACAAATGCGAGGAGTTCCTTGCCCTTGATTTGTTCCCTGTATAAGGCCAACCACAAGATGAAGAGACCCCATTTTCCTTGCCCTGCACCCTTGTTAACTTCTGGAATAATTGGTAAAACATTTCAAGGAAACATTTAGCTTAGGACTCTGTTAGAATTTTTGGCTAACAAAACACCTTATCAGAGATAAGGAAACTTCATGGGGAGTGGGGGAAGCAACATTGCTCAAAAGGTGACATATAATACCAGGAAGTGTTTAATTCCTTTTATCACTCCTATCCCCAATTGAATTTGTTCCACACTTTTCATTTTACTGTTATCTCTGGTGAGAGATAAGTGGTTTCTCTGCACTCCTCAATTCTCACTCCTCTTTGCCACCTACTGTTTCCTCTCTAGTCCACGCTTTCTATGCTCTGTCACCTTTTGCAGATAAAGTTGTGGTTGTCAATTTCTGTTTTTGCTAGCGGAGGTGCAAAAAGTTTTCAAACAATGCTCTCGGTAAAGAATAAGACAAAGGTCCCTCTGGTTCACTTAGCAGTGTATGCACACAATGGTAATCATTTCAGACAGCCTGACAAAAACCTTTCAGTCTTCCTGTGATGCTTGAAAGAAACAGACCAGATATTGGAAACATTTGTTGCTGTTTACAAGAAGTATTTGGTTCCGTGAAAGTATTAACAGGTATTAACAGGTTGTAGCAATCTGGTTCTCGTTTCCTCAGGCATACAGCTAAGGACTGGGATCTCCCCAATCATGACAAGGCATGCTGTGGGGATAGAGCTTGCTGATCTGAAGGAGCTAAGGCTATAATTGTCACAGAAGCCCCACCCAACAAACATAGTCTGTGTTATACAAGTATTTGGGTTGAACAACTGCTCCAGGACTGCCTGTGCCTTGGCTGGCCAGTGGCTTATGCCAGTTGGAGAAAAGCAGTGTCTTTTGATAGGGATTCAGGACCCTGTGAAAATGTTTTACAGATTATGTTTCCACACTTTTCTTCACTGCGTGTTTTGCAATGTTAAAGCCCTGCTGGGGTTCTTTCACCAAAGAGTACTTGCCCCAAAATTGGGTTTTGGCTTCCAGGATAACAACAAGCAGAAGGTGCTTGATTCCTGGATATAGTTTTAGAAGTATGTAGCAGGAAAGAAAGGGTAGAGAATATCTTGCTTCAATACCTGGTACTCAGACATAGGCACTGATATTTATTTCATTGCATTCATATCACGCTCTTCTCCTAAATAGGCTTTGGGCGAAGAGAAAGTCTCTTGGCAAAAGCGTCCCTTTCTCAGTAAGCTTCATGGGCTAAGGGATGAATCTGGGCTTTTCACACCCAAACCTATCATTCTAGTCACCCGCAGTGCATCGGCTCTCAGTTCAAATAAGCAAGTAGCACATGTATCTTCTCCCCCACAAGGGGGAAAAAATCAACTGGGGAAAGGATTTGAATGGGGAAATGGTTAGAGGAGAAAGTGTTAAGCAAGACTCTACTCTGCTACTCCTCCATTTACCTGTAGTATTGTTGAAAAGAAAAAGAAGAAAATGGGGGGGGGGGGGGTTGGATTAGACACGCAAGGGATTCCTGGCTTTAGAAACCAAGTTTAGACCACAGGAGCTAGGTGTATAGGATATTACGGCTGTCAAAGTGACATCAGTTATGAAAACTTAAAATAACAGAACTGGAAGATACCTTTCGGGTCACTCAGTACAGAGAGGGACAGCTAACTAGCATCCAGTCTTACCTAGCTCTCACCATCCCCAGCAAATCTTAGTGTTAAATCATTTGTCTATATTCACTTGCAAGGAAATTGTTCCCCACCCCCTGAGTTTTAACAGGTGGGTATTTTTTTTAGTGGGTGTGTTTGCATATAATGCCTTGGAAATGTTCAACTATGTGCTCTAGATACGTAACTCCAAACCCCTCATTCCTAACTGACACTGATTTTGGAGCAGTTCTTGATGTCCCATTAAGGGGTTCAGGTTGGGCAGCCGAATATGCTTTTGACCCCCCCCCCCGTATGATCACTCTTGAACCCACAGGAGCCCCCCCCCATGCCTTTACATGGGAGCATCAGGGTTTGAAGTGATGTGAGGCAACATGTGAGTTCTGTCTGTGGGGTTTAATCATTCACACATAAGTTGCTGTTTGATCAAACGACAAGCACACATGTGTGGTAGTTGATAGCCTTGAGTAGCTTTTCTACAGAGTGTTGTTGTTTTTCTTCTGTGTGCTGCTGGTGGATAAATGCTACATGGCTAAGAATTCTGAAAGGTAGCCTTAACCCATTTAGAGAGATGAGTGTTTCCTATTGCAATGAGTGTCTCCCCTCATAGCTCCAATCCTGAACCAAGCCCCCGGGGCGAGGTCCACTGACCCCCTCACTAATGTCCTCATTAGCTTTTGGCAGTGGTTTTCAGAGGAACAACCTGGAACCTCCAGGCTTTGTGTACATAAAGTTCCTCCCTGACACAGAGGGGCAAATTAAGATTTGGAGAGGAAGGATCACAGACACTCAGTAACTGACATCCTATCTATATGCTAAGAGATCACTTATGCCAACCTTTGTGGGCAGATGAGAGGTAGCTTTTACAAGCAAAAGGAAACTGGAGCAACCACTAGTTTCAGTAAAGGAACCCAATCACTGTAATTTTGTCATTGCTCAAGAAGACGCACCTGGTCATCTCAGTTCACAGCACGGGAGACACCTCCTTGTCAGCCCTCCATTCAGCTTTTAAACTCGCCAGTCACTGACAAGCTGGCCACCCATTCACAAAATTCTTTTTATCATTTGGTCTCACTTCAGGGTGAACCCAGAGTGTTTTTGTGAATCCACCAGTATTTTCTTATGAATACCAGTGTTTTCTTATGATCATTTTATATTGCTTTATGGAAACCATTTACCCTTGTTAAAACACATACAAACAAATAATATATTAGAGATCTATAAATGCATTCTTCTCCTTCCTGCTGCTCATTCTTTCTTCACATGCCTTACTATCCTGCTCTCCATTTTCAAAACATCCAAGTCCCTCATTTGGGCAGGCAAGGCAGTGAGGGAGAGAGATACCATATAACATACCCAAGGTCACATAAAGAATGGCCAAGGTCTCCCAGGGTTACATCTCAACCTTCTCCACCCCATCATCACTCTGGCAAGTAAGCAAGCTGGTCTTGCCATGCCATCTTAACATGTCTCGATTTACTTTATTGATTTATTGTTGCTGAAATACCTCTTGCATATCTTATTTCACATTGCACTGCAGATCAGCTGGTTTGATAATGAGCTCAACTGAGATACCTCTGTATTTTTTAAAAAGAAATTATTGGGTGGCAATTCTCTATACTCATTGCACACAGCTTGTATAGGCAGGGAAAGGAGGAGAGCAGACTGTACCTTCTTTTGGAGCATTTTCGTCCCACGCAATCCACATCTGCACAATGAAAAAAGGAGTCCAGCACATAATGAAAGCTAAGACTATGATGAAGGTCATTTTGACAGTCCGGATCTTGGCTTTGGAAATGAGTTTGACACTGCTGACCCTGGAGAGGGTGCCTCTATGGGGATTCCTAGAGGTCAAGTTCACATTGGTCTCGTGGAGGGTCTTTAGCTTCACATTCTGCCAAATCTTGAAGCTGATCAAGCCATAGCAGATGGTCAGCATGACCACAGGGATAACGTACACAGTCAAGGTTATCCAGGTGATGTAAGCTTTAGGTCCCCAGGGCTGGATGAAATTTGCCCAGCAATCGAACACCCCATTATCCACATCCTGCATGGAAAATATTTGGAGTTGTGGGATGCTAAACAGAAGGCACACCATCCAAGTGAGGAGGACAGACAACCGGTCAGACCTCCTACGTAAGGACCTCAAAGGCTGGCAGATGGCCAAGCACCGATCCAGGGACATCAGCAAGAGCATGTAAGTGGAAGCAAACATCCCCACCACCTGCAGGTATTTGATCAACTTGCAGAGGTAATCTGGCCCAATGAACCTGAAAGTGATGTCCCAGATGAGCTGAGGCAAAACCTGGAAGACGGCCACCACCAGGTCAGCGATGCTCAGGTGCTTCATGAAGAAGTACATGCGGGAGTGCTTGTGGCGGGTCGTGTGGATAGCCGCCAGCACACACAGGTTTCCAGTCAGGGCAAGGAAGAAGATGAGGCAGAGCACGGCCACCTCCACCTTGGCAACGTTCTCATTCCGCTTCACGTGAGTTCTGTTGCTTTGGGACGTCTGGTTCTCCACACTAGAATTGCTCAAGGAGCAGTTGTAGATCCACGGGTCACTTGCGAACAAGCAGAGAGTATCCATGGCTGGCTGCTTCCCATCCAGTGCCTTTTGCTAGATTGATCTGAGGGTGGGAGCCTCTCTCTGTGAGCTGCAGTCCCCTTCACAGCTCTCCCTTCCTTGGGACCAGGCCTTTCAGTTCTGCTTTCCTTTTTCTGCAACGCCCCTTTGCTCCCATTTGGTCTTTTCTTTCCTGCATGTATCTCCACTTCGCTCCCTTTGGGTCATTCACTAGTGTTTGCACATGGAGAAGAGTTGTGAGTTGCTTTTCCCTCTCTGCAGGCTTAGCTGACCAGGGGAAAGTCTGGGGCTGAAAAGGTCCAAGCAGCCAGCTCTGTCTTCCTGTTACCTTCAAAATTACTCAACCCTCTTCCTCCTGGGCTCCTAAAGCAGTCACAGAAAAAGCAAGAAAATGTGTTTTTACCAGAAATCAGAATCACCACCCTGCATCCCTGCCATCCTCTCAGTGCTGGACCCTTCCCAGAATGCTGCTGTATTACTAGGGCACTCATTCAATCTCAGGACCATTTCAGTTTGTTTCAATGGATTGCTCCAGTTTACTTTAATGCAACAATGAGCCATTGGCTCATTGGTTCACAGAGTCCCTTTGGAGCTGCGGTGTTTATTCCAACATATCACTACATGCAGATCAAGGGAGAGAATAAATAAATAAAAACTACACACTTGCACATATTATCTGTTGTTGCTAAACACGACTTTCCTATTTGCAAAGAAATCTTGTTTCTTACCTTTAACTCATTCCTTTCTTTTAGAAACTCATTGGCTGTAGAGTTCTTTTCTCCATTTAAAATGTAGTATTTCCAGCTACCCTTCTCCAGATGAGATGATCCAAGGATTTCAGGTGAGTGTTTAATCCCTGTGACACATCCAGCTGCTCCACAAGTTTGCTCTCAAATGAATCCAGGAGGACAGAGTGGAGGGAGGGGGGTGGAGGAGGAGCGGAGGCTGCAGTCAGCCCTTCAGAGTCATTCATGGGCAAAATATACTGCTACTGTCTAAACACTGCGGAGATCTGTTTTTCCATTAGGTGGCGGAATAGGCCACCGCTTTGCTCTCGTTTGCAGTGAGGGACTAAAAGCTCAGGAGAGACAGGATTGAGATTCCACTCAACAAGGACCGCTTTCCAAATTAGTTTTAGATGTGCACAGTTACACACAGCTGTGTCTTAAGAGGCATGGAAAAAATGCAAAGCCAGAACCCAAAGAACAGCAAAATCAGTTCTATGAGTCCAGATTTGGGGGGGGGGGGACAGCTACCTTTTGCTAACACCTCTCCACACAAATCCCTACTGTGCCTTTGCTGCATGCAAGACCAGCCCAAGATGTTTTGCTGCCTGAGGCAGAACAGCAAATGGGTACACCACCAACTGACATCTATAATATCCAAGACTCGCTAGGCTATTTTGGTGCTTGAGGCAGAAATAGACATAAGCACCTCTCCCTGAGAGCAAAAACAAGCAAACAAACCACAATAATAATTGACAATTTCCTGGCCTTTCATGAAGCTCATCTGCAGCTGTTGGAAGTGACTACTGTACTCTGCCTACTGGCAAAGCCAGCTCTAGGACAAATAGTGAGGTGGCATGCTGCTCACCCACCCAAAATGGAGGAGTTAAAAATTCCATTGGCCTGAGGCAAAGCTCTTGCACTTCCATGGACTAATGTGTGAAAACAGTGAGCAAAGATCTGAGGAGAAGATAAGTGACTGCACCTTCCAGCTAAAGATCAATTTCATCACATAAACAGAAACCACACTTTACATTTCCAAAGACCTGGAAGTGATTATTGCTACTATTGTTCTTATTATTAATTACCTGTCCTTAACCCTAAGGTCCCAGGCAGGGCTTTTTTCAGCCAGAACTCACCGGAACTCAGTTCTGACACCTCTCAGGTAGACCCCATTGCCATTATAAGAGAACATGGGAGGTGACTGAGTTCTGGCACCTCTTTTCCTAGAAAAATAGCACTGGTCAAAGGGCAGTTTAGAGCAAATAAAACACAGTTTTAAAAGTTTTATTTTATTTTTTTTTAGAACTGACATTCACAGAAAAAGGTGGAACCTACAAATATACATATCAAGTGTCAAGAGCAGGGGTAAAGAGGTGTGGCACTTCACACATTATCTCCTCAGAGGCAAGATATACGGTAATTATTTGAACTGTGAGAGGTATGAGGACAGGCCTTGCGGATGCCTGAAGGAGTCAATGTCTCTGAGTGACACTTTTCTGGCTTTGTCAGAAAGCTCACAAAATTGAGTAATCTGCCTCACAACCTTTGCTAGTCCTGGTGACAGTGTTTGCTTAAACAGCTGTCACACCAAATCCCCCAAAGATCTTTTTAAACTCCTTGGAGTTTAAGAAGCCTGCTTTTTTAGCTTTTTGCCGGGGGGGGGGGAGGTACAGCTGTGCTGTGAGAAGAATCTCGGGTGCATTTGGGTACATTGTGCATTCCTCTGAGTCACAACAGTCATTTCCCAATTTACCTCTCTGGCTCTTCCCAATATTGTTCTGCACTAAATGCTTCTGGGTTTTCCCTGGGTATCTCTTCTCCCACCCTTAATTATTTAATTTAAGCAGGAATCCTCCCCCCTCCAATTTAACTGAAAAGCATACAGTACGTGTTTTGGTTCAGCTGCACCTCCTGTCTTTTCCCTATTTCTTTGTTAACAAGGAGATAGTTTCATCCTGGTAGCTTGAAAAGTGGGGTGGGGGGATATGGGTGCTCTTTGAAGTGAATAGATTAGATGTTGATTTCTTGAAGTAACAATTTAGTTGTGTGGTAAAAGCTTTGGGGGAGAGCCCCATCTGTTAGGCTGGATTGGAGCTGCAGTTTAATTACTCTCCTTTTGTGTTGACAATCAGACTACATAAAAGAATGTCAGGCGCTAATGAAAAATGGCTTTCCTGTTTACAGCATTTACTGACAAGAGAGAGACAAGGGACAGGATCCAGCTCTTAGGGGTTTATATGCTGTTTAGAAGAGTCCAAATGCCTTCAAGTGTTTTGTGACAGGTGAGGGATGGGGGGAGACCGACAACTTCAAAGGAAATTTGAATTCTATATTGACTTCCCTGCAAAAATCCTAAAGTTGTAACCCCAACCCCTAATTTTTTCTCTCTGAATAAATTATGAAAGCAATTTTGCATTTGTATGCTCCTTCACTTCTTATTTTCATCTCTGGTTTTATGTAATGCAATGGGGAAGAGGAGGTAGGACATACAGATCAGTCCAGGGTGATATTCAGAGAGACTTCAGACTGGTACCCATGATAAGTGAAGCAGGAGTTCCCACCAGCCCACTGAAATTCCCCTCCAGATTCTTACTTGTTTTAAAGTTTTTATTTGCAGACACTTATTTGTTTACTAACTTCGAAGCTGGACCAAATAGATTCAGCAGAATCCATCTAAACTTTTGGAACAACCTTAGGGGCTTTTGAAAGGTATAAGAGCTCTCTAAGCATCCTCACAGCTGAGCTTCCTGTGAGCAACCAGATTCTGTTATTCAAATCTCCTATTATTTAGGGGCGGGCTTCAATTGCACCTCTACACACACACACACACACACACACACACACACACACACACTGAAAGAATGCACTGAAGGGGATATGGAGTCCTGTGAACAATCTCTATCCCTTGTTGCAGATGTGTGCAGTAGCCTCAGGGAGTGAGGCTACTAGACCAAATGGCCTTGCAACTTGCTTCATGGGCTATTTCAGTTCATGAGGGGGAGGATTCATCTGATCTTCCTTATTGTGAAGGCATTTTGGCATCACATATGCCTTTCACAAACTATTTGTATGCTGACAATGATACTTCTACATTTGGACATTTTTTCCTCAGAGAACAGAATTCCTTCACCAGAATATTAATGAAACACTGACCAACAATCAACTAGCACTCATTTTCTCGATTTAAATCAACAGTGGATGCAAGACGTCCCTTCATTTATTCATTTATTATTTCTGCTGTTCATTTATTTTTTGCTCCAAATGTTGTTCCTCACGCCTCACACACATTCCATGGACTGCCTACTCTGGTTAAACGTACAGCAAAAGCATTTTATCCAGTGGGCCTTAAATAAGCAGTTTGAGACTGTTCTTTTCAAGGAAAGAGACCGATAGTCAAGCAAGATGTATCAGGCAAGATAGTCAAGCTTTTTTGGGAAGAAAGCTATGCCTCTAATATTGTCACCCCCAAACCTGTGGGCAGCATGCGCAGCAAAGAAACATTCCCAGCTGTCAACTAAAAACAAGGCTAGAGATTAGGCCTCCTCCCATGAAGCCTTTTGTGTTTTGGTTAAAGGTGAACCCAAATCACCACAGCCGCCATTTCTCCACTCCAGTCCTCCTCCAGTAGCTTTGCTTTTTAAAAAAAAAATCTGTAAATTACATAACTACAGCAATGCTGCATTATCAGAATATATCATTCTAGGTGGATGAGCCAGCGTTTGTCCCAAGCGATGGCAGTGGCAGTGGCAGCTGTAACAGAGCATCCCATTGCCTCTCCATGGCCTCTTACCTTGAGTAGCTTGTAGTGGCTGCTGGAAAGTGGGCAAAGAGGAGAGGCTGCCCCCACTGAGGCCCAGCCCTGATATGTTGGCTCTGAGGGGCAGGCAGAGGGCAGGGCTGCCATGGGTGGGAAGAAAGGGGGAGCAGAGCAGAGAGCAAGGAGTCTTGATTTAAAACAAAAACAAAAAACGTTGTGCGTCCCTGTCTAATTATGCCCCTTTCTAAAATTTACAAAGAACAAAATAAAATAAAATCAGGAGTAAGGGTTTTTCTCAGGACACTGGAGGGTGTGTGTTTTTGTGTCCCGTTGCTGTTGTGGTGGTGGCACACGCCCTTCCTCTGGTAGGAAATGCTCTGTGTGGGGGGCTGTGGGGCACCAAAAAAGGGAGGTCAATGAGGGTCAGCTGTGGGGAGTGAGAACACCTGCAGGGGTGACAGAAACACAGGCGCTGAAGGGGCAACATCGCCCCCAACATTCCTCAGGTGAAAATGTCCCTATTTTCATCTGAGGAATGTTGGAGGGTATGTGTGTGTGTGTGTGTGTGTGTGTGTGTGTGCCCACATGCTTTCAGGGACTGTGCAGAGGAGGAATGGTGGAAACTGCCTCCCCATCCTGACCCTTCCAGGGAGGAGGAAGAGGAAGACAGTATAGAGTTACAACAGGGGTTTGAGGGAGGTAGCAGCAGATGAGGGGGGAAATTGGGAAAGGATGGGAGAGTCAGAACAACACCCAGCTGACACGCTGTCATTGGAAAGCATTCCAGACCCTCCATCTTCCAGAACCCGGCAAGCCTTAAAAGTAGGAGAGCAAAGAGCTTGAAGACAGAGGGCACTTAGCGGCACCCATAGAGGAGATGATGATGATGATGATGATGATGATGATGATGAAAGAGGAAGTGGGAGAGAAGGGGGGTGGAAATGCACTCGGGACAACACCATTATCCAAGAGGCAGTGTCCTATAGCCTCTGTCTGTAAAGTTTAAAATAAAAAAGGACTGTAAGAAACTTTTTCTTGTCTTTATACTTTCCTGGGCAACCAGCCAGAAGCTCCTGACAACACCTTGACACCACCATTAACGCCAATTTTGGGCAAGATTGTGCTGATTTTTTGGTGAGATCTTCCCCAAATGGATGCAATCTTGCACCAAATCAGCACTGGTTGAGGTAGTACTTCTCCACCACTAGCGGAGGTGACAGGTCAGGCAGGGTATGCCTCCTTGGGGGCTTCTGCCGCCTGAAGCAGAGGTTTCACCCTGCCTAATAGCAGGGCCAGCTCTGGGAACAGGATAAAGACTTTTTCCATAATAGGCTAGTTTCCTAAGAGAGCAATCCTGTACATGTTTTTTTTTTCTCAAAAGTAAATCCTGTTAAGTTCAGTTGAGTGGAGCTTAGGCATTTAAGCAGTTTAAGAGGCAATGGCAAAAGAATTTAAACATGTGGTCCTACAGCTGCCGTCTGAAGTGGTAGGATCTCAGTTTGAAGAAGTGGTATAGTCCCCAAAGAGCCACACAACATTTTTTATTCTGAACATGTTGTTTTATCTTTGCAAATTTTCTCTCTCTACTGAAATGCATGGATAATGATGATGATGATGATAATTTATTATTTGTACCCTGCCCATCTGGCTGGGTTTCCCCAGCCACTCTGGGCGGCTTCCAACAAAGACAAAAAATACACTAAAATGTCACACATTAAAAACTTCCCTGAACAGGGCTGCCTTCAGATGTCTTCTGAATGTCAGGTAGTTGTTTATCGCTTTGACATCTGATGGGAGGGCGTTCCACAGGGCGGGCACCACTACCGAGAAGGCCCCTGAGTTTCCTCAGGTAGTTAACTACGTTTTATGCAGAGTAGACCTACTGAACTTAATGAGCAAGCTAGGGCCATTAATCCCAATGGAATTCCAATGGATATTTTTTTTTTTTGCAAAATCTCAAAAAAGAGAAGTTTTTGAGCTATTCTATCGAATCCCCGTGGCGGGGTGCGCTCCCGTTGCTCGGTCCCAGCGCCTGCCAACCTAGCAGTTCGAAAGCACCCCCAGGTGCAAGTAGATAAATAGGGACCGCTTACCAGCGGGAAGGTAAACGGCATTCTGTGTGCTGCGCTGGCTCGCCAGATGCAGCTTGTCATGCTGGCCACGTGACCCGGAAGTGTCTGCGGACAGCGCTGGCCCCCGGCCTATAGAGTGAGATGGGCGCACAACCCTAGAGTCTGGCAAGACTGGCCCATACGGGCAGGGGTACCTTTACCTTTACTAAAGGAAATATGCCAAAATCTACACTACCAACATGGGTTGCCATATGTCTGGATTTTCCTGGGCATTTCAGCGATTTCCACCTGGACACAGTTTCCGACAGCCGAATCCTGGCTATGTCTTGGAAATTCCGGACATATGGCAACCCTACATTAGAGTGTCTATGCTCACAGCTGCTGCTAGATGAAGTTAATTGTGCTTCCAAAGATAGTTGTGCTGGGGCTCTCTGCTTGTTCCTCATATTCAGCCCATGCTTGACCTACTCCATCCAGTGCACTGGCAGTGAAACTTATTTACTCACTTCTCTCATCCTTCTGCCATGCTACTCCTTGGTAGGATAAAAACCCATCCATCATGCGAAAAAGAAAAGGAGAGAAAAAAGAGGCAAACAACAGGTTCAGAACAAAGCGTGCAATTTGAGTCAGTTTCTACGAATTGGCATTGATCTGCATACAGACTGATACAAATAACCCAAACTGTACCAACATAGACATTTGCATTTCATTTGCGTATCTTACCTTTGGCATCACGTGATTCATTGCTTCCACAGGCAGCCTGCAAATTACCATACAGTTCCTTGTTTCCAAAGGTAAAAGTTAGAAGCCAACCAGCTTCTCTTGACCTTGCCTGACTGCCCTCTGCTACAGATTTTGTATTATTTCCTCCACTCCCAAGGTACATTACACTGCAGCACACGTTCAAAGCAGGAGGCTGGATGTGACGGCTCCAGATCACTCTAGCCCCGTGATTCTATGTTTAGCAACACTCACCTTCCTGCTTATAGCATCACATTCTGGTGTGAAGTGAACGACCTGCCTGCTTCTCTTTAGGTTGTCATTCATGGAGTTACACTGTTCAGTCTGACGGCAAATGGGTCTACTCCCCACCACCCCCGCTTCGCTTTGCTGGAAACTCCCACCCCACCCCTTTTAATTTGCTTTCTACCTAAGCAAAAAGAGCTCTCTTCCCCTCCCCTTTGTTAGAAGGAAAGGCTTCAGGGAGCAAAAGATGTAGCACTGCCAGCTTTATAGCTTGCCACCCGCAAGATGAAGCAGTGGAGCCTCAGTCCAGACTCAATTACGCATGCAGGGCACAGTAGTGCCGCTTTGCAGGAGACTTCTAGCGAGTGCTCTGCTTTCAAAAAAGGAAAACAGCTGCCTTTTGCTCCAGCAGGACATAGTGCTGCCTGCTGATTTCTTTAGGTGTGCGTTAATATATATATATATATGGCTCAGTTTATAAAGAGCAGGAATTTAGACAACTCATTTAAAAAATGTGAGGCTTTTAAATGGTAGGTCCTTCAAAAGCTTCTAAACTAGGATAGATAGGAAAAAGTGTGACCTTCATTTTTACTATTACAATTAATCCCTTGCAGCATCAGTGGATATGGTGCAGCCCAAAGCATCACAAGCAAAAGCAAGCAAAAATTAGGCATGCATATTTCATTTTAGTATTTATTTATAAGACTGCATACATCGGTTTCTCAGGTAGTTCCTCAGCCAGACACTGAACAGGGGACACCAAGGCTTTAGCTCAGCACAGTGCCTCCAGGTGCATTTGATAGTTGGGAGAAGGGATTAAAACATGAAAAAAAAAGGAGTGTAACACAAGGCAAATAAGAACAAACGCAACCATCAGGGTTAGCCATCAGGCTCAGGAGCCACTAGAAGAAGAAGAAAGCCTTCTCTTCCATGAATTTGCCAAACCCTCTTTCAAAGCTATCCAAGTTGGTGGCCAACACTAGTGGGAGCAAATTCTATAAAGTCTGAAAAGTTGTGTTTAAGTTGAAGATCATGGGCTAAACCATGCGTAGGCAAACTAAGGCCCGGGGGCCGGATCCGGCCCAATTGCCTTCTAAATCCACCCCGCAGACAGTCCAGGAATCAGCGTGTTTTTACATGAGTAGAATGTGTCCTTTTATTTAAAATGCATCTCTGGGTTATTTGTGGGGCACAGGAATTCATTCATCCCCCCCCCAAAAAAATATAGCCCAGTGGGATTTCCAGCCGGTGGCAGAGGACAGAGTGACTCCAGGAGACATAGGTGTAAAAACCCAAACTAAAACGAAGACTTTATTACTAAGCAAATAAACACAAACTCTGGTGGATGTTATTCCTGCAGGCAGGCAACAAAACTCAGCTTTTTTCCTTTATAGCAACGGTCACCTGCAGCCAATTAATCCCAGAAACTTCTTAAAGGTATACACACATGTTTCTGTGCCGAATGTCCTCTAACACCCAGCCCCCCGCAAGGTCTGAGGGACAGTAGACTGGCCCTCTGCTGAAGAAGTTTGCTGACCCCTGGGCTAAACTAAGCTCAGTTTAAGGGTGGCTTCAGGAGCAGCTTATTCCTGTTTCAGCCTAGGGATCAGCAATGGGAATGGATGTTTCTGCTGTGCTCTTCCTTGATATCTTCCTCCTGGTACATGGATGCCCATGGACAATAGATAGAATGCTTACAATGTAATTATCTGAATGCATATTCTTACAATATAATTATATGAATGAATACAGGAAATGAAAGGGAGCTGGACTTCTGGTAGTTGCATATATTATTAATATTTGAAGTGGTAGCTCATGCATCCCCCTTGATGAGAACTGGCACACCTCACCTCAGAGGAGATGAAAGATGCCTCTGCTCTAAAGATCAACAGTATGCATAAATACAGAAAGCATGACTGACATATATATATCCAAACCATATGCAAAACCATTCAGAGTGTCCTATTGTAGAAAGGTTTGGAGTCTGATATCCCAAATCCTACGAACACATGTAGCATTGTGATGGCCAGAATGATGATTCATAAATGTCCAGTTGTTGATGATGAAAGGAGAACAAAGAGTGCATAGGAACCCAAATAGATGTCAGGATTTGATGTCTCCATCTGACTGTACAGCTATCCACCAATCATGATCATAGAATTATAGAATCTCAAAACTGTAGAGTCCAGAGGCACCACAAGAACCATCTAGTCCAACATCTGCAATGCAGGAATCTTTTGCCCAGAGTGGAACTTGAATCCACAACCCTGAGATCAAGAGTCTCATGCTCTACTGACTGAGCTCTGCTGGAGGGCAATATGTAAGAAACACCTCCCAAGAAATTGGAACATTTTGATCATCTACAGGGTCATTTTAATAGCAATGCATGGAGTAATGCATAGAGAATATTGTATACTGAAATACGTTTTACATTATGTTGAATTTTTCTAGCACTGTTAATAGTTTGTTGATTGCTCTTTTCTAATGAGACTTCCCAGAGGTGGCAGAAAGGAGTTAAACATTGGAAGAATGCATGTGCCTCATGAATATTCGCTCCCTGTTCCGATAAGCATGTCACACACAAATTTGTCAAAGGTATGGTTGATTTGGCCACCAGAGTTTCTGGGATCAGAATCTGGTTCAGAATATTTAACCCAAATTTCAGGATGCCTCAGATTTCAGCGATGAGTTCAGAGTCCAACTGCCAGTACACCTGTGAAAACATAAACAAATGGCTTGCTTAAGATTCATGCCAATGTTCCACTTAGGGTCCACTTAACTTCACTGTAGGCACAATAAATGTTGGTTTTAATTGATGAAACATCTCAAAGAGAGAGAGAAAGAAGAAGAAGATTTAAAAGCCATTAAACTGGACAAATGGCTGATGTTACCTGCAGATAGATGAAAACTTACAGTGCTGCTTGCCAGAACAGTATGGCCAAGTCCTCGCAGTGCAGGCAAAATATGAAAACATGTTATATAAAATCTAAACCACAATCAGTTGACTAGCTGGAATTTGATGAAGCTAAAAAACAAAACAAAAACCTGGGAAACATATAAAGAGAACCAGATGGTGAATGTCCTCAATAAATGCTTTATAAAAGATTCCGCAAAGGGTAAACGTAAATGCAAAAGTGGGGAGTGATGTGGGGGGCAGCATTTTTTGGCTGCAGCCCACAGCCTTGTATGATTCATGTAGTCTCAAGTTAAGAACATGAGAGTTGTCTTGCTGGATAAACTCAAGTTCTAACTGGTCCAGCATTCTGCTTCCAGTTGTGGCCAGCTAGATGCCTCCGGGAAGTTTATAAGCTGGACATGAAAGCCATAGCTGATTTCTGTTGTTTGGCCCTCAGCACCTGGCATTCAGAAGAATATGGGGACTGAGTATGGAGTTGCTGTTGCTAATAAAGGTAAAAGGTAAAGGACCCCTGAATGGTTAAGTCCAGTCAAAGGCAACTATAGGGTTGTGGAGCTCATCTCACTTTCAGGCCAAAGGAGCCGGTGTTTGTCCACAGACAGCTTTCCAGGTCATGTGGTCAGCATAATTAAACCACTACTGGCACACGGAAACACCATTTACCTTCCCGCTGCAGTGGTACCTATTTATCTACTTGCACTGATGTGCTTTCGAACTGCTAAGTTGGCAGAAGCTGGGACAGAGCAACGGGAGCTCACCCGGTCGCGGGGATTCAAACTGCCGACCTTCTGATCGGCAAGCCCAAGAGGCTCAGTGGTTTAGACCACAGCACCACCCGCTCCCTTAGTTGTTGCTAATAGCCATAGACAGACCTATCCTTCATGACATTGTCCCATCCTTGCATAAAGCCAGTCTTAGTAAGTGCTAAAGGCCATTGGTCTGGATCAAGTCAAAGGCTGAATGCGCACCAGGTTGTCAATGCACATGTGACTTGCACCTATCTGCACATTTGGTCACATGGGTGCTTTCAAACAGTGCTTTTTTCCTAAAAAAATGTTTAGGGGTACTCTCATTTTCCTACTCATATTGAAATACTGCCCCTCAATGTGGCCAAACTTAGATTCACAAAATGTTCAAGGATATGCGTACCCTTGCGTAGGCCCAGAAAAAAGCACTGCTTTCAACTGAACACTTCTCTCAATACTTCTGGCCTCACTAGTGGGCAGTGTTTGATGGGATGAATTCACACTGTGTATTGTTGTCCTCCTCCCCTCAGTTATTATTTCCCCGCCCTCCCTAAGTTCTGGAAACTACAGGTCCATTGTGGGCCCATGTGCAGGTATTTGTTTACCTATGCACAGGGCCAATTCATTTTTTTAATGTAGATTTTTCAAAAGACCCAGTGTCCTTTCTCCAGAGTTTGCCTGAAGTTCTGCCCAGTTTCACAAAAACCGGTTCACAGATTTTGAAAGGGTTGTCTTCTCCACTCGATGCTGGGGATCATAAAGGGGGAGGGTGCTGTCCCACAAAGGTCCTGCTGGCCAGCTTCCCATATCCATGTGGTTGGCCACTGTGAGAACAGGATGCCTTTGGCCTAATCCACAAGCACAACCCATCACAAACCCTTTATCTTCATTTTGTGAAGCTAAAATCCATGTGTCATGCTTCCTGGGTCCAGATTTCTGAGCCAAGTCTTTAGCACTGCTACGAATACTGTGATTTTACTAAGATGTTCCTGTCAAGACATGTTGTTGTTTAGTCGTTTAGTCGTGTCCGACTCTTCGTGACCCCATGGACCAGAGCACGCCAGGCACCTCTGTCCTCCACTACCTTCCGCAGTTTGGTCAAACTCATGCTGGTAACCTCGAAAACACTATCCAACCATCTCGTCCTCTGTCGCCCCCTTCTCCTTGTGCCCTCCATCTTTCCCAACATCAGTGTCTTCTCCAGGGAGTCTTCTCTTCTCATGAGGTGGCCAAAGTACTGGAGCCTCAGCTTCACGATCTGTCCTTCCAGTGAGCACTCAGGGCTGATTTCCTTAAGAATGGATGCATTTGATCTTCTTGCCGTCCATGGGACTCTCAAGAGTCTTCTCCAGCACCATAATTCAAAAGCATCAATTCTTCGGCGATCAGCCTTCTTTATGGTCCAGCTCTCACTTCCATACATCACTACTGGGAAGACCATGGCTTTAAC